ACACACACACACACACACACACACACACACACACACACACACACAGCGTCCTTTCGTGATTGGCTCGCGTTGGTTACAATTCCACTATCTGCAAGACTACTGAGTGTTTCCATGGTTACGTCAGCTCCATTGCTATTTGCAGTCAGTGTTTACATGGATACGTTCATTCACACACACACACACACACACACACACACATGTATGAACATTTAAAAACTTTTCCTGGCTCTTGAATGAAAGAACTTGAAAATCTTTGTTGACACTCACATGACACCAAAAATAAGTAAAAAATTTAGTGTTGACTTAATTTGTATTATATTTATTTACTTTTTTAATGTTTTTGAAGAGTATCTGTGTATCTATCAGGCTAGCTATGCAGCCAACCTCGCTTCACACAATCATTTTAAGATGGCAGCTGTCTGCAACAGTTAATAGTTACTGTAACTCCTGTGCTCAGCAAATTGATTCAGTTACGTTCAGTGAACTGCTGAAATCTCTGTCGGAGTCTCGGGTGTTTCCAGCTCATTTCTTTCCAAATTTTTTAAAAATAAAAACACTTTCAGAAGGAAGACGCGCTTTCAGAGCTCTGGAAGTTGATTGCAAACTAAATTAAATACAAAGCTTTAAGCTAATGTTAAACAGTTAGTGATTAGCTCCTTTGCTATGCTCAGTTTCTACAGCTAGCTAGCTGGAAATGCTAACAATCGTAGCCCTAAACACATTGTTTAAGCTACTACTTACACTTTGGAGGAACAGGCAGGTAATGTTACAGAGGACACAGCCTCTGGCTTTTGCTTCTTCCAAAACACCCCCGAATGTACTAGCTTAAAAAATGCACCTTTTTTTGGACCCTTCCTGCTTAATAAGCATCTGTTTTAAAAAGGGCCCAAGAGCCCGCTCTATGAAACCACACAATCATCCACCTTTAGCCAAATTTTAACCCCTACAAAAACCTGTTTTAATCACTCACTCTGTCAACATCCTTGTCACGCAAGCACCTCTACTGTGAGACTCTACCCAAGAGACAGACGCTGCTCTTACCGCATTCATAATTGAATTACAGCTGCCCCCTGTCACAGGATAAGCGCGGGCTTATCCCGATTTCTCATGTTAAGTGATATAATGATTTACATCAGCAAGCCATCAATGCGTTACAGCATGTTATAATTAAAGTATGCGTAGGAAAACCTAACAGATAAAACGTTGCATCTGTTGGACGGAAGACAAAAGTTTACTGTGAAGCTGGAGAAGTTCTCCTCTGAGCATTCGTGATGCACAAACGGTGTCTATGAGGAAGGAAGAAGAAACAAATCTTGTCTGAAAAGTCAATGACGTTTGTGTGGATTTTAGAAAAGGAAGTGATGCGCTTTGCCGTCTCTGAAGCATGAGGTGAGAATAGTCCTCATTGGAGAAATAATTAAACGATGAGTAAGAACATCATGAAGACAAATATGACAAAAGCCCATCTACTTTTTCGAGAGCAATCGAGTGTTCAGACACATAAAGACTGTGCTAAGCTTGAGCTTCTTAGATGCTGTACTTGACTGTTCGCTCTGACCTAAAGAAAACGTAGTGGGGACGACACGGGCTTAAATCTGAGACTCTCCA